ATTCAAAACTAGATTTTCACCAAATAAGCTAACAGAAACTGTAGGATCTACATGCCGACTGGTTGTATCAGTGCCCTGAAATGAATACAGATTACCTATCAGTATGGGGGAAAAGGGGAACTTGTACATTCTCAAGCTCAGAGATCTATGAACTATAAATAATGTTCATTTAACCAAGGAATTATGATTCAGCTAGTGCATTATCTATTTAGGTTTTTATTTAGTACAGTTTCAAGTGCAGCTTTGAAGTGTTCCAAAATAGCAAATATTTAGTTTGGGATTGTAAAAGTACAGCAGAAGATTTTGCCACACATATTCCATTAACACTGATAAAACACACATATCTATATCTCCTAAACTGCTCTCAGAGAATCTCAGAGATAAACTTTTTGTGTCTACCACCATGAAGGTTGAGAATGCATGTATGTACACGTGTATGCTTGCGGATAGTTTCTGCTTTGATTTCTTGTTATTGTGTGCTTGGCACAGCTCACTTGCAGAGACCCAGCCTTTTCTTCACAATGTCCCTCCATTGCTATTGCCTCTTTCCTTACTTTCTTCATCCCTTTTTGGTCATAGGCATATTTTGTGATGGATCAAAGCCAGAACTATTTTTATCTGCAGACTTCTAAACTTTGGGAATTTAGATAAAATCTAATCCCCCCCCATTGAAGTTATGTAAATCTCAACTGCTGAAGTTTTGTAAAACCAATTTCTCTCCAGATTTTACAAGATAGAGTGAGACAGTCTGGTCTTGTAAATATATCCCTGTAAATGCCAGGGATGCAACCAGGAGGTGGATCCAGAGTTCTCATTCCCCTGTTTGCACCCAGTCCCAAGCTCTTTCCTCTGCTATTTCCTTGTACCTGGTCCCAAGTTCTCTCCCACTGCCTTTGCACTGATACCCAGCTGCACACAGGGTCCTATCCTGCTGCCTCACAGAGCCCTGGCCTTTCCCCCAGATGTTACCCCCATTCATTCAGCTTCAAGCTCTCCTCTCTGCACCCCCCATAGTCTCTCTTTGCATGCAGCTCCAATTCTTCCCTTGTTTGTGCCCCACATGCAGCTCTGAGCTCCCCCCTCTGTACCTCAACCAACCCATAGCTGTTATCCAGAGAAGCAGTCATGCTGAACTGTGCCATCCTTACCAGGGCCTGTGGGAGCTCTAGCTCCCTTCTTCCTTCTGCATCTCTTCTTCCCCTGGAAGCACCAAAACCCAGATTCAATCCTTTAACCTGCCTGGGACTGGGGTTTCCTGGGGTCCCATTCTGCTTTTCCCCAGGGGCTGGCATTTACTGAGTGTCCTTGGGTACAGAGGTGGGAGACCAAGCAGGTGCAGAGGCTGCAATGCCTCTCAAATTTGGCCCAACTGCCCCTCCATCATTGCTCAAGCTGCAACTTCATAGTACTGTCCATACAGCTATTTTTGGAGTGCCAGCATGAGCCTGCTAACCAAGGTCTG